CGCCAAGCTTACTGTCTAGAACATAAAGCATGCTACCCGAATGGCTGCGTCCCCGCGTTTGACTTGGTGTAACAGTTCTTTCAATTCACCTTCACTACCTACCTACCACTACTCCTAAGGCTTATACAGGGGACCCCTCCCAACATAGCTTTGTTCCATCAGAGGGGATGCATGTTGCCCCCTTCCCCAGCCATGGTGGTCAAGGATGGGGTGGGGCCACCCGTAGACCGAGCATTTTGCCAGTAGATGTGCCTCCCTTTTCATCGTCCCACCCCCAACCGAATAACAGCAGTGTCTAAGGCCAATACTCTCCCACACACCACGCACAACCCACTCTGGGACCTTGCTGTCCGTGTAGTGGCATCTCTAGATTTGGTAGGCCTGTAGGCCTTCCATTTTCTATTTTTATTTTTCGTAGGATGAGGTTCCCTTGTCTTGTTTCCTGTCGAGATACATTTAGGCAGATAAGCCGTAGACGTTGGCTGCTTGGACGGTCAGATAAGTCCATACGCAGTGACTTGGACGGTCAGACAAGTCCATACGCAGTGACTGTGTTTTAGGTCTGGAGTGTCGGGTTTAGGTATGGAGTGTCGGGTAGAAGCAGGCAGAGGCCGATTTCGAACGGGCTTTGACCGATAATCCACTGCAAGTAAAGAAAATCACGCAACTAAATCTGAACGAGAAAATTGTCCAGAATCAGGCACTAGGTGCATACCTATGACAAGGATCGGTCTATAGCCATGAACCAAAATTTTAGTGGGGGAAAGAAAATCCCGAAGGAAGGAGAAAGGGGGAGCACAATCAAGTAGGAAAGAGAAGTGTAGACTACTGAGGAGAAAGATTTGCTCCAGCTAGAAGAAAAGAAGGTGCACACACAAAGAGGAGACAAGGGCCGCAAAGGTGAAGTCGGGCGCTGGCTCGATTGAGCAATCGTGCGATAACGAGATCGCGAGATGAGGTCGAGTTCTCGAGAAAAAGAGGGGCAGAACTAAGCGGGCATGACATCAAGATACGACGAGGAAGTAAGGCCAGTTACACGGGAGAGCAAGAGAGGAAGGGTGTGAAGAAGCAGGAAAAGAGGAGAAAGAAGAAATAGAAGAAAGGGAGGAAGGAGTGCTGACGGGGAGAGAGATTACCATTTGCCTGAGCTGTGTCCTGGGCGTGGGTACGGGAATCCTGTTATCAGGGGGCCTCAAATTTCCGCACAGTAAACAGCTCGACTCCACGAGAGGTAGGCCACAACTTGAGTAGTTCTCCCCCCTCCCTTCGCTCTTCCTTCCTTACCTCGTTCCTTCACCCCGTCTCGAGAGCCCTATGTATTTTTTTTTATTTTTTTTTTTGGGACCATTTCTCGATTTATGTGTGTCATCCTTGCGCAGGGGCCATGCTAATGTTCTCTGTATCGTTCCAATTTTAACGGATGTCCCGAAGGACAACCCTATGTAAATTTATTCGTTTTCACAATGTATAGATTCGCAACGGTCGAATTGAGCCATTATGAGTGGATGGAACTCAACGAAATTATCTGTTGATTGCTACTTGCTTCACCTCTCCTCTTTCTTTTCTCTATCAAAATGTCATTGCTCGACCTCTCAGCCGGTCATGCTTCTCGATCGATTACTGGAACGAGTCGTGATCCGCTAATCTCGAGATGCGGGTAGTCATTCACAAGCGAGGGTGAGCAAAACCAAGGGGAGAGAAGGTAGGAATGTAAAGGAAGGAGGAATAACTTGCTTACCAATACATACCTGACAAAAATCTTACTCACGATCAAGATCAAAGGAAAATTGAACGTGAGAATTGGGAATTAGCACGTTGAAAGAGTGGGAATCTTTGCATGCTCTCCTGCTTGCGTCCAAGGAAGCTAGTTGTTTCTACATCGTCAAGAAGGCAATTTCTGCAGTATTTTTCAAGCGAGGATAAGAACGGTATGCCTCGCTAGACCGAGGGAGCGAAGCGCCCAAGAGTTGCACCCTCGTCTTCTTCATCATACACAAGAGCAACTTAGTGCGAAGAGGAGAAATAATGATCTGATCCTTTCATTCTCACTTCATTTCTTTGCCATGGTTGTGAATCCTTAGATACCTTACCTGAACGTTCTTTTGCATCTACTCTGCTCTTCTCTCTCCTCTGCTATGATAACTATAGGCTATAGCTCGAACCTCATAGGCTCCTGTTCTCCAAGACTCTGCCACTCTTATCTCTCGAACCTTGGCAGTACCGATGACTCGGTCAGTTTTGGTAGGCCTGTAAGAGAAATGTTTTCTCAATGTTCACAGGGACATGTACTCACACAATGAGAGAGAGAGAGAGAGAGAGAGAGAGAGAGAGAGAGAGAGAGAGAGAGAGAGAGAGAGAGAGAGAGCTTACCTTGTGGGACGGATTTGCCAGGCGCCGGGAGAATCTCACCCGTAGTTCGACGAGCCGGACAGTGCAACGTCTCATAGCACATCACGTATTGCTCGATGTTTCCACGATCCTTTTCCTGGGATGGCTCCAGGGTGTTTTTGCTCACTCTTTTCATTTCCGAATGAACCTAGCCGTAATCTCGGGCGGGTTCATATAGGCATGTCCCAGGGAAAAGCTTGGCCCGATCAGGTAAAGTGATCGTAAAGACAGGTAAGGAAGGACAGGAGGGGAGAAAGAGAAAGAAGGACGGCTAGCAGGAGAAGAGATGAGTGAGCGATTGAAGGACGAGAGGGGAGTGGAGCGGAGATGGAGGAGGGGAGAGAGAGAGAGAGAGAGAGAGAGAGAGAGAGAGAGAGAGAGAGAGAGAGAGAGAGAGAGTAATGCACGTCCCTTGGCGTAATAACGGATCCATTATTATTATTTTATTTAATTTTGTCTCCATCTTTACTTACCCGCGACCGCCATCAGATGCAGTCTCTCTTCGTGGCATGTATACGTGCATGAAAACTGGCAATTAATTTGCGAACGGGGCTCTCTTTGAGAGGATGTGTTTTTTTCTGCAGTCAGCCAAAACTTGAAGTAGAAGGGGGAAATAAGGAAGAACGAGAAATGAGACGAAGACTAGAGGGGATGGAGAAGGAGAATTTGAAGAGGGGCTGAGGAAAGGAGGATTTGACGAGCTGGGAGCTAAGCTCTGCAATGATTCCAGCTCTTGTTAACGCCATGCTATTTCTAACCTACGCCCGAAATGTAGAAGTCCAGAGATTCAACCAAGCGCGGGTAAACTGCGATTGATTATAACTCTCCTCGTGTAGATTTCGTCGTGGCCATGATGTGAAGACCCACAAGCTGCTCCCCACCCCTCTGTGACGAGTACACCTTGTAGAATGGTGGCTAATGTATATTAATTTTTGCTTGTTATCAATCGCTATTTTCTTATATAGAGAGCGTGTAAAAAAGACAAACGAAGATGGCGAGAGATATATACGTGTAGAAGGAGAAGTAGACAGAGATGGAGAAGCCTACCTGATAGGGCCATGAGTGTCCGCCACAATTCTGAAGTGTGCATCCGCAAAACGGTTTGACTTTCTCGAAATGTGATTGGGGAAAAAGTCAAACTGGTCGATGAAAGTCATCCAACGGGCGATGGTGCTATTGACCGTGTTTTGGGTCTTGTAGAAGACCAGCGGATTGTTATCCGTTACCCATCGAAATTGACTTCGACCAAGAAGACCATGCTGCCACCGCTTAAGCGCGTGTACGAAGGCTAGTAACTCCTTCTTCGGTGCATCGTCGATTGAGTGCACGCCGGGTTCAACCAGGTGCCAATCCACGCCATCGCCTCAATGCCATAGCCGGAAGCATCGGTAGTGACGCGCGTCGGCAAAGCACGTCGTAGATGCGCAGGACCTCCGCAGATAGCAAAGCGGCTTTGAGGGGCAAAAATAAACCCTGCACATTATCACCGAAGTCGAACGACCGATCCTCGCATTGAAGCTTGATCAAGTTGGCCGCGATCTTCGAGTAGCCTTTGATAAAACGTTGATAGTAGCCGGCAAGGCCAAGAAACGAAAGGACATCTGTGATGTTCCGCGGCTCCGGCCACTCTTGGACGACTTGAATCTTGTCCGATAACGGACTGATGCCCTCCGGTGTGATGAAATGGCCCAAGTACTCCAGCTCTTGCCGGACAAATTTGCACTTGTCACGGTTGGCTTTGTACCTGGCGCGGCGGAGCGTCTCCAACACGTGTTGAAGGTGCTCAAGACGGTCCTCGAAGGTCCGGCTATAGATGAGAATGACATCTAAGTAAACCAGCATAAACCGGTCCAACATCACGCGAAACTCGTTGGTCATCACCGCTTGAAAGGTCGTCGGGCCATTGGTGAGGCCGAAACGCATGACCACCCACTCAAAATGCCCGTATCACATCTTGAACGCGAATTTGTAGCGATCATTCTGGCGTATCGAAATCTGATGATAGCCCGACTTCAAATCAAACTTTGAAAAAACTTTGATCCGCCCACATGCTCAAGAAGATTGTCGATACGAGGAAGAGGCCCCGCATTCTTGACGGTTTGCGCGTTGAGCTTGCGGTAGTCGATGCACAATCGTAGTTCTTCTTCCGTACGAAGAGAATTGGCGCACCATATGGTGAGCTACTAGGGCGGATCCAGCCCTTGTTCAACAAATCGTCGAGTTGCGCGTGGCGAAACGCGATCTCCTCCTTGCTCATGCGATAGATGCAACCTTTTGGGGGCACGACACCGGCCTCAAAAATGATCTTGTGGGAGATAGGCCGACCCGGCACCACACCGGTAGGTGACTCGAAGATATCGGCGAACTCGTCAAGCAACTGCACCACACGGGGGTCCGAAGACAAGTCCGTGGGTGAAGAGACGGCTACAGTGAATCCGTGATGGTTCCGAGAAAACATAGGCCGATCTAGCTGGGCTGCTGATAAGCACAAGTAGCCCGAAACAACTTGGTCGTCGCAACCTGGCAATCGGATCGAAGGGTGCGGAAGAGGAATGGTACACGACACCTCGGCACCAAAGGTGTTGCAAACGGTAAGTGTCCGCCGATGGAAGTTGACCATGTGGTCGACATTTGCAAGCCAAGGCATCCCTAAAATGATGTCGAAGTCCGTGTCCAAGACATCAAATGTCACCGGTTCGCATGCATGAGGTGCGAAATAAACCAGTACGGTTTCGATGTAGCAGTCAATATGACTCAATAAGTTGTTGCGTCCTACCGTTCGCCAACTTAAGCACCGTAGGATTGTCCTTCCTTCGAGCTTGTGCACCAAGGCCGGTCCTTTGAATAAAGAACTGGCTCATGAAATTCCGAGTCACGCCGCTATCCAACAAAGCACTATAGGACGCTTGCCCAACTTGGATGCTTACTTAAAGGAGCGGTGTGTTGTTATCGTCGTACCACTGTGTGTGAAACTTGCAGGCCACCTTGGTAACATACGCAAGGATGTCCCTCACCACAACTTCGTCATCCGTCGGTGAAGTTGGTGGTGCATAGAAGGATAAGTATGTGTGAAGATGAGCGCATAGTGCTGCGCATTGCGATCCCGGTAAGCGGCCTGTGGTCGGGAGAGGAAGCCATGCGAAATCCTCGGACGTTAGCGGTCCAATACCTCTATGTTAAACTCGCGCGCCGAATCTCGTGAACGGCGTAAAGAACCACTTGAAGACGATAAATTGTCGTTGCTTCCGGACAGAGAAGATACCGCACACACATCTTGTCCTTGAGCGTTAGTATCCAGCGAAGGAACGAGTCTGGCAGCATAGTCCTCATAAGCATATAGAACAAGAGGACTTTTGACTTCCGCATGTGCCTCGCAACTAAGGGAGGTCGCTCGCGCAGCAAGCAGTTCCGAAAGCGTTGGGAGTGTCATTGCATCACTCTCGGCGGTGCTTACTTTCCTAACTGTTTTTTCCCCTTAGCCTTTAAGGGACAGGCGACCGTGTCGTGGAGGTCGATACACCACATATAGTATCAGAATCTCGTGCATATTTTGTATACGCTTTACACGAGACCGTAGTGGGTCCAAGGGTCTTGACTGAGTGTTTGATATTCGATTCAACGAGGGTTTACCGTTGAAAGTTTCAACGACCGTAGAACCCCCGTTACAACGCCACGCTATACTGTGTTAGAACGCGGTACAACGCGGCCCGCGAAATTTGTTTTCGCAGGCAAACAATAATAAAAAAATACATATATATGTATGGGGCTGTAGATTTTTTTGCGCTCTACATCCCCATATTTTTATTTTTATTTTTTGAGAATTTAAATTAGTTAAAAAAAATCAAAAACCTAACCAGACTCAAAACACATCGATTTTTTTTATTTTTTATTATTGATTGATTGATTGATTGGTGGGGATGGGTCGCCCCCCCCCCCCCCCCCCCCCATCACACACACACACACACACACACACACACACACACAATCAGTTTTTTGTCTGTTAGTCTTTGTCCTATTGTTTGTCCTTCCTCTAATTTTTTTCTAAGTATTTTTCTATATGCCCAACTGAGCACCCTTAAGTAGTGCCAGACAGTCGGTGGTTCCTCGTTTGGAGTGTCAACTGCACTCTTAGGGGGGCCGCTCGGTCCGGGATGTCTGTGTTGCCTATGGGTGATGACGGATGCTCGTCGGAGTGTCTCCCTGACTCAGTGGGTGGTGGGAACCAACAGTCTGCGGGGTTAACCCGTGATGTGAGTAGGTGATGTGCTGCTTTGCTCCGTGTTGGATGTGTGGACAACCCCGTCTGCACTCCACCACTGCCTTGCTGCCCGTTCCGCTTGCCTCGCAGGTCGTTCTTGGCATGGTGTTGTCTTCGTTGTGTGGTGTGGCTGGGTTGTGGTGTTGCCTTGCGCTTCGCTGCCTTGCCGCCCGTCCGCTGGCCATGCCTTCTGGGTCCTTTGCTTGTGCGCCCTGTAGTTTGGTTGTCGTGTTGGGGTTGCCTTGTGCTCCTCAGCATGGTCGCTCTGCTGCTTGTCCGCTTGCCCTCTCGTCCCTTCGCTGCTATGTTCCGCTTGGGGACAATCTGCCTTCAACAAGGGTCAAAGGGTTCATGACCCAAACCATCATATACGGGGATTCCGCAGATTGTCGAGGGTTCAGCCTCCTGATGAGTCGTTGCAATTCCGACCAAACAATCTTGTTATCATCAATTTTCCTTTTTTTCGGTCCTTCGACTTTCTTGGGACTTGTATTTTTTTTCGGTTTGCCTGTTTCTGTCGGTGCTACTTGTTTCTCAGCTCACTGTCTTTCCCTTGTCCTATCCTGTTCTTGTGCTCGCCCGCCTCCCCCGTGGCCCCCCAGCCTGTGGTTTGTTGTTGCTTGTCATTTATGTACGTCGTATGTCTCCCCAGTATGTGTTATTTCCTGTTTGTTATTCCCTGCCCCTTCCCTATGTGTTAGTCTGTTTCACTTCAATAGTAGGGCGTTCGGCTTCTTGTTGTTTGCTTGTTTTGGTCTAGCTAGTAGACAATTTATTTCTTGGTGTGTTGCTTGATGTGCTTTTTCCGCACAGCCCGCCACGTCTGTTCACGTGGGGGTTTCGTCTCATATCACACACACACACACACACACACACACACACACACACACTTGCGCGGGGTTTGAAAGCTGCTTTTTTTTTTTTTTTTTTTTTTTTTTT